CCTTGGCAGAGCGAAACAAAGAATGAATTGGAACCCTGCCTCGTCTGTCTCCAAGTTATACAAACCTATGACAATTTTGGTTGCGCGACGTTGGCGTTTCTAAGGCGGAGAGATCTCTCAGTCGTGGCTGCCAGGGCTTTAGTGCGTAGTCTACATGTGGACATATGTATGAGCCGAAAAGCTATAAAAATCGAAAGGTCGTATGGTCCGAAGGTCTGCTTCAAAAGGCCCACATATTGAATACCCCTTCTTTAAGCCTCTTCAGTCTGACTAGAAGATGCAAGGTCGGCCTGGACCAAAAGGTCTAGAGCATTTTCACCGAAGTAGTGTGAAACTTCCGGTTGTTCCGGCGTCATTCACATTCTTCTAAGTAGGCCGTTAACGCATCATAAATAATAGCATCCATGACAGCTGAAAGCACCGGTCGCACGTTTACTGGACAATAATGGGCTGGATCGGAATAAGTACCACTCATGCAAATAGGGGTAATCATTCATTGTTTCCACATGTCGAGCATGGGGAATTCATCAAAGCAATGTGGGAGGAATTGTGCCAATCGCTCTGCTAATCTCTCTCTCCTGTGGTTGCTAGCGATTTCGGGTGAATGTTGTCGACTCCGGGAGACCTGTGCTTAGGCATACCCAACCGAATTTTTAGTACAGCTTCTGCCGTGGAGGTTATATGAGTGAGTTTTGATGTAAGACAACCAATGTCATTGGGTTAGATGTTGCAGCGTATAGCAGGCGCAGAGTATCCGCGCATCCTTCTGTGTCCACGTCAGCCCGTGCGTAGTTTGAAGAAGAATTTTCCGTTTCACCTTACGTAGACTGTTAACGTACTGCTACAGAAGCTTGGGCTTTGAGGCTTCACACGTTGCCAACTTCTATAAGTACGCTATTCTATCCTCGCGAAAACCTGAGTACAGTGGTTACGGTGGATCGCATTGGTCATCCAAATCTTGGTTCTCGGAGAGAGTTTGTAGCTACGCTATGCGGAGTTTCGCACCGCCATACACTTGCGTATCCTGTTTCGCAGAAACGAAACCATGTTTTTCGGGCAGAAGGTCTTAATAGTTGATGCTTCGGCAAATAGAGGGTTAAACTGGCTGATGCAAAGTTCCCATGTACTAACTGGTGTCTCGTCTGCCAGGAAGGTCCAGTTGGTTGTCATTTAGTTGAGCTAACGTCGTGGTGTATAATCCTTCGCGTTACTTCCGTAATTTCTACGGAACACTGCAAATGGAGGTATTCTAAGAGTAAGACTACATGATCACTGCGGCCAAAAGGACGTCGACGATTACCTTCTCAACCATCAATTCTTCGTTGGTAAATATCGGATCCAGCATTGATAACCTATTTGTTCTTCAATATCGAGTGGGACTGTTGATGTGGCCATACAGAGGATAACTGTAGACGACCTCTTGTAGAGGGGACTTAAACTCTTCTCCAGGAACGGTTTGGGATTCCGGAGAGTGGATGTTGAAACCATCAGTAATAAGAATGTGACTTTACTTCCTTTTTATCACCCGCCTAGGTGAGGATGTCAGCTAGAACTTCAAATCGGTGGTGAAGGTGGGAGGGAGGTAAACGACTACCACCAAGCAGACGCCGTCGTCTCTTAGACGTAGGCTGCATCAAAGGGAATCCTGCACTGTGTTAATCGGATCCTCTATAATCTCACATTTGAGAGCATTGCTTTGTCGATCTTGCTGAACAAAGGACATGCCTGTCAGTGCAGTCACGAACTCACCAATGTCTCCGTTACAACGATGAGTTCACAGGTATTTGATCATTGACGAAGTTGCAATTCGGACCTTTTACCAGCATTAGTGTACATATAGGAAAGCTACTTGAATATCAGAAGCTACTGACGAGAAGCATGTGCAGGACGTGGATTTCTGTCGACCGATGAGAGGCTGGAACTTGCTCCTTTTTGGCTGACGTCAAATCTAGGTAGGAGTGCGATCCGTTTTAGATCACTTTTGCACCTGAGATACGTAGTCCATCGGCAGCCTTCTCGATGGCTACGAATCTTAGTTCATATGTTTCTGAATCTTTGTTGTGGTTATATTGAGTCACAGGTGGTGTCGTTTCCGCGAGAACAGCAACTGGTTGCCCCTCTCTACTTGTTGTCTTCGGTCGTAGTTCCGAAGGAAGCGGGTTGCGTAGTAACGGCCATCTACGGATTAAATTCCCGGTCATCTGTTGTGGCTGTACCGTTAGTTTCAATATCCTCGGGCCACTGCCTCACTAATTTAGCGACACGGATAACCGTACACTCGACTGAAGTATGACTTCACCTGCACAGAAGGCTTCACGAATGTAACACCATTCTTCCAGGTCATCAGCGTGGGCTTCTGCTTTCGATACTGTTCGTGTGGTGGTCGTTTGAACTATTATTTTCCCGCTGGCCTTCGCTCCATGGAACATCTGGAAAGGTTCTTAACCGCCTGTTTGCAATCCGCAAGCGGTATGCCGACAAAAACACCTTCTCGACACCATCTATTGATCCCAATGTTACTCGCATTTGCCGGGACTACCTGTACTGCTTCGAGGTTGGATGTTTAGTGATATGCATCAAATTAGCAAGTCTAGTCTGAACAAGCGCAAATGATATTCCACTGATTTAACTCCTCCTGCTGTTTACCCCCTTAAAGAGTGACTTAGACTCAGGAAGGTTGGTGCATATAAGTGACAAGACGCCGTAGTTTCGCCTGGTCTTCGGTTATGTGGAAGGCACGGTTATCGAGGGCATTGGCGACGTCAATGCAGGTTGCACCTCGTCCTTGACCCGTGTTGTGGATGTACAGGATGAGGCTACTGAGGTCGCACTTTGATTAAATGGAACAACAACGCTTGTATTAGTGGATGGGTCTTAAGAGCGCTTCGAAATTTGTCGGTAAATCGGAAGGTTAGGTGTGTCAGCGTTGCATCAATTGGCCCAGTGGAGAAGAGGATGTGAGCCGTGGCGCTGGGCTGGCTTCGATCGTTCGCGAAAACGAGTTGTTCCGTGATTACTCATGTTTATTGTACTACGTGGATGTGGGAACGCCTGTTTAGTTTTCGTGGTTTCGAGGTGGCAGCTTGGGGAAATGGATGTGGTGCAAGCTGTGCTACTGTCGCCTTCAGTGAAGTAATTTTCTCCGTTAAACGATATTCATTTTCTGCTACTAGAAAGTCGTAGTTCTGTGCTAGTGCTGATGTACAATTTACAAGTAGAACCGTCGAACACTTAGAACAAAACTAAAGTGAGCCCGGCGTACTATCATAATGCTTTACTTCGGTTCAACGTACTCTGATACACTTCGGGTGTTCGCGGCTATCGCAATGGGAACATTCCAAATCTACCATAACCAACTTAGATCATTTTTGCTTAGCACTGGATGCTTCATTTCGGAGTACCGGCACTCTGGCTATGATGACCGTATGGTCGTTGCCGTTGCTGACTATCGCTTGATCGCCGATCGTTAGGCCAGTGATAAGATGACTGGTTCAGTTTGGTTTGTGTGTTGCGCCCGTGAGTTATATACTCGCGGATGCGTCTGGTGTAGCAACTTATAGTGCTGGGCTGGTTGATTGATCACTCCAACTGAACTGATAAGCGGCGAAAGTTAACTGTGGTTTCCTTAAGGTTTCACAAAGGGAAATTAGTTTGCTCTCTAATTTTAACATATGGTGATGGAATGCGATGATTGAAACCTTAATCGAAAGCTAGGAGACTTCTCTATCAAAATAGAGCAAAAGCTTGAACGGATTGTGGTTGGGCCAAAATTCATGATTTAATAAGGTCAGAAATATTCCCAAATTGCTAACGTCGGTATAAACAATACCTGCGGGAATTATTCCAGAGAAAATGCTTTCAGTAGATGGAGCTCGTCAAACCGAGAGAAAAATACAAATCCAGCTAATTGTGCCAAAATTTCACGTAGAAAATGTGAAAGGAAAAGAAGCACCAAATGGAGCGGTCAGCTCATGACAGACGAGAGCGTATAACAGGCATCTAAATAGTGATGGAGTATAAATGCACAGATTCATACGTCCTTTTGAATTCGCGTGTCTCAACTTCGAACGAATTCAGTACCTTCTCAATTGTTGGGCGGTCGGCATCGTGGCTGAGATGTATAAAAGCAAATGCTTGACGTGTACCGTGGAATGGTATGGGTGAACATTAGCGCTTAAAGCGAGTGTCAGTAACAGGATTTGGAGTAGCACATGTGCGAATGTTTCTGTCTAGAGTTTAGGAGGTTTATAACACCAACCGCTGTTTGTTCTGTACTAGTACCATCGTCTGATCATTATGGGCTATGTCACGTGATGTAAATGTGTCGGCGTATCGTCAAGGCTTTTTTGAATAGAAATAAGGTGGGGACGTTAATTGCATGCGCTGGAAGGGCGTTCCAAGGCTGTGACACTCGTACGGAAAAGGTTTCGAGGACATTCCATTCCGGTTGTACTGCTTGGCCAACTTAAACTGATAACCCATTAGAGATGTGTCCTGACTGAGTTTCAAAAGAGAGTGATATGTTTGGTTTGGTTTTAAGTATCGGGTACACCATTCTGTTGCCCCGTAGACGCCAATAACGTCCGCTGTACATTTTTAGTTTTCAACCTGGGTGATTAGGGAAGGCGGGACAAATTTTTGACGTTCTTTGTTGCCCTGTGTTGTGCTGGATCAAGCGCGGTGAGGTGGTACTTCTATCAGGGTGAACACGCTTGGGTAGCGTATTGCGCGTGCGGCCGCGGGTACGCGCCAAGCCGTTGCGGAAATACTGAGGCAACAAAATTCCCGAAGATACTGCGAAAGCCAAAATGCTGCTTTGCGTTGTTTGCTGCCGTTTCAATCTGCTGCAAGCAACAAAATGCATATTAGTGGAACATTCGTGGCAGTGAGGCTACTGTTGAGCTTGAATAGTTAATTTTTGTTCAACATCTCGAAAGTGATTATCTTGATTTTACACCCCCTCACAACCCAGATAACTGAATTATGTTTCCTCACTTTAGCTCCACCAGTCAAGCTTCGGTTGGAAGTGAGTTGACGGAGGTTGAAGAAATCAATCAAGACGAAACTGACAATGCGTTCATTTCAGGTATTTTATTATGATATTGAGTAACAATCCTGTACAATCACAGATCACAAAGCAAGCCAAAAGTTCAACACTGCGGTTGCTGCGAACGGGCCAAACTGCATCACCCGATTTGACAGGTGAGCAAGTTTTAGTGCAGACTGCTTTGCTCCGAATAATATGTACAAACATTATGCACGATGCTTTTCCTAAGGTCACCTATTGGTCTTCAGGCCGACTGCATGTGGTAAAGTACATACACCAAATCCTCATCACTTCACATGACATGTAAGTAAATTAATTGTGATAGATCATCGTTTGGTCAAGTTTTGTACGCTATTGTACATCCGTAACACGTATATCTGACCAACAACTATCTGCCATCACCATCGGCGCTTCGCGCGGGAATCGATTATTTTCACTCAGTCACTATGTCAAGCATACGTCTAGGACACACCATCACCAACCTCAATCCACAAGACCACTTTCTGTGCATAAAGTGCATTGCAATCATTGCCTGCTATTTGCTGGCTTGCTGCCGATCTTTGACAGTTTGTAGCAGAAATCTATGCTTTTTACGTTAGCTCAAGTGAGACAACTGTCACCTTTTTAGATGGCGTTGATTAAGCGGTGATGATTAAAATGGATACCGTCGCAAGCGGGTTGAAGGTTGTACCAAATTATTCCTTGCGGAGATCTATATAAAATAATAATATGCACAGCTGCATGTTGTTGTGACCTAATGGTTCATGATATATTCGGTAAAAAGACGCCATGGATATTGCGGCTCTGGACTTGTGGATCCTAAACACTGAGGAGCAACAATTTTCAAAGAACATTGACGCGGGAGGATGTACTGCATTGGAACCTCGGTCAGCTCGGTGACCGCCGAGACGGTTCACTCTTCTGTTCAGGAGTACATTGCATGTCTTGCTCGATACACGTAGTCTCAATTATACCCGAGCCTATTATAAAGAAGCACTCAGCCATCCTTAAAAAGGGATTACAAGATACTATTTCCGAGCGAGGGACACAAGCCCAATGCGCGCAGTACAAGCAAGAAATGACTACATAATCCTTGAAACTGGCGGCTGCAACAGGGTCTGACCGTCCAATTGTAAGATCGTTGCCCGAAAACCGTTGGTCCCTGAAGTTGAGCCTCAGCAGAGTCCTCTGTATGAAGGGCCCACACATGGATAAAACTAGTGGATTGGAAGGAAATTGAATTTCATTAGCGATATCGTGGGGAGCGCTGGGGAAGTAAAAGCTTTGGGTGTTGGGCCGTTACAGCCATATTGGTTAGCTCTTTAACACTCCTGAAAATTGTTAGCTTATCCCTGAATCCACAAATGGACTGGTTCCCTTTGAGTACAGGGCAAGCTTTGTGTACTGGCCATATCTGTCTCCACGAATGCATTGAAAATTAAGTTAAGCAGTTAATCAAATTTACTCTTTATGCCTAGTGAATCATGATAAAGGCACCGGATGACTTTACTCCTGGGATCCGAATTCGACATGAAATACTTGACAACAATGTCTGTTGCATAAGCGGATGCACCATAAAGACTCTCTGACCGCGGAAGGCGTTTACCAGAAGACAGAGTATTTGCAGCAGTTGCTACCGAAGTTGGTTTCAGTCGTATGGCATATGATATCGTCAAATCAATACCTGTGGGGGCCATGAGATCTCAGCAGGTCACTAAACAAAGTGCACTGCAGAGATAAGTATCGTCCTATACAAGGCCAGTTTTGTCAGGGCGATGTTAAAAAGAACAAACTCCGTTTTTCAAACAGCTCGATTCCTGGTCAGAAATCGTCTCCTGTCTGCTTCCCCTTAACCGCGCCGAATTACCAAAAGTGCGGCGGCGACACGTCTTGAGACAGTTCCATACATGTGATCCAACCATCGTTAGAAAGAAGACGCTTGCTGAATGCTATGCTTTTTGGTAGTAGGTAAGCCAAGTCAAGTCAAGAAAATGCTTTATGCACTCTGCATGGGTGGACATTCGGCTACAACACACGCGATCTTGACAATGTACCAAAAAAGCAAACCGGTGGCAAAACGATACGATAACGAATGGGGAGATAAGGACAAAAAGCACAAGCAACTTGAAAGTCGACTGGTGAAGTCAAGGATAACAGAGTTGGGATCTCGCCAAAGACGCGAGAGGTAAGGGATGACTGACGAGCGGTAAGCTTGTGTGCGGGCATAGATTAGCTTGTACTTCTGCCTAGTAGATGAAGTTGATAAACATTCAGATAAGGCAGTATGTAAGAGATGACTTGTATCAGTCAGTATTTTAGGGACCAGCTTTTTACTAGAACTTACGTGTGTAGAAATAAGAGGTTTAGTAGAAGTAGATATCGGAACACCGCTACATCGGGCTAAGTACTTTAATACTCTGACAATTAACTTAATATGCTTACTCAAAAGACCGGGAAATATCACAGGGGAACAGTAATTCCAATGGGGAAGTACACAGGCATTGACAAAGCGAACGATCAACTCAAGAGGGACGCAAGAGGCTCTGAGCCGAAACGCATAGAATGACAGCCTTCTTACTTTTGTGCAACTTTAGTTACTTGAAGCACCCCAGATAAATCGTAATTCAACATCACATCCAGATATTTTATTGATGTGGAGAACTGTAATCCATCGCCATCTATATGTACACAGTTGCACAGTTTAAGGACCTCCTCGTACCTGGCTCCATGATGTAAAGAAAATAGAATGTCATAGCACTTTGAGGCATTCAGAGACAGATCACAGGATTTGGAACGGTCATTAAAATCCTTCAGAAGCGCTTGTAGTCTGAATGCACAATCAGCGATTTGGTGATTGATGCCCAGGACCATATCGTCCGCATATTTTATCAGAGTCACTTCAGTTGAAGTTGGCATAGAGCTGACATAAGTAGAAAAGAGAAAAGGCAATAGAATTACTCCCTGAAGGACACATGCATTGGTGAGTAGTGGGAAGGAACATCTGCCGCTGAGTCGCGTGATCTGAGTACGTTCAGCAAAATAATCCCGCAGTAAATAGACAATGGAGGGTTGTACTCCTTGACAAAGTAGGGCTTCTAGCAGTTATTCAGGGGTTCCAAAGCCAAATGCGTGGCTGTAGTCAAAAAACACATCAGAGTTGCTTTATTCCTATTAGCAAGCGATGACAGTGCAGAATGTACGAGGTAGACCAGAGCATTTAGGATATACCACGAACTACAGTAGGCGAACTGGAGGGGGTCCTTAGAGCGCGTTCTGGACGGCATCATTTCGAGCATGAATTTCTGCAGAACTTTCTAAGTAACGGAAGTGCGAACGATAGATCACCATTTTTGGATCGTTTTTTCGGCACTGGTGTAATGTTGACACTTCGCCAACAGTCGGCTAATTTGTGTCGCTGCATACACATTTTGTACATACTCGCAAGAGGTGTTGTCAAACAATCGGCGCATTCGTTGAGTGAGATAGGAGATAGCGTGTCCGGCCCACTAGCTTTACCGGAACCTAAATATTTCAGTAGATTATTAACAGTTGCACTGTCAACGCGAGGAATTGGTTCAGCAGACCCCAGAACTTGGGCACAGGAATACTCTGGAGCTGTCGTAATATTACACTTGCGGAACTCCTGATTCAACCTCTTTATGTGTACAGCAAAGTAGGGCGAACGTTGAGTAATTCCGCTAAGCGTTTTCAGCCTCCTCCAGAGTTCACGAGAACTACCGTTCCCAAGAACAAACTGGACATACATTTTGTTAAGATGGTGTAGCTCTTCCTTGATACGACCTGAGAGATATTACTGAGGTGCTGTATTTTTCTTTAAACGCTTTCTCCTTTAGGCGGCGTAGCGGCTTCAGGTGGGGAATGAAAACCTGTCAGCGCGGATGGAAATGGTTTCCAGAGGACAACGGATATCAAAACCAAGTTTAAATAGCTAGTCAAAGTATCAGAATATATCAGGGTCAAAGAACAAACTAAATTCCGTGGATGCGATCAATTCTCGAAGTTTGGAGAGATTTTGTGGAGAGCACTGTCTCCACCGGACCCTATGACCATTGCAACGAGTGATTTGTTGGTGGTTATTCTTGCTATAGATGACAGGTGAAATCTCGATAGTTGACTTCAGAATTACCGATTGGAGCACGAGTACATACGGAGAACCACCTCACATTATTAACAAACACCAAGTCCAAGGTTGCGGTTGACCTGGTGGGCAAGTTGACGATGTTTGGCAACCACAGAGAGCGGCGAGAAAATTGGTGTCATGTCTATTGGAATCTCCGCCGAAGATGCACGGAGACCGATCGAAGTGCTCTATGACAGCTGTAGTAAATTCATCCTAGAAACCCTCAGTTTCATGTTTGGGACAGGTGTGAGATATGTAGAGGTTAGCCACCAATATTGAGCTTCAACCATTCAAATACCTCGGCTTACATTGTATGACCAAACAGGTGATAAAATGTGAGGAGAAGCAAAAACACTTTTTGTTGCAATACACCAAGACGGGTTGGTGTAAATAAGTACTCGAGCACCTCGGTTCCATACGTGCATGGGTGATCAACCCGATGGCAAATCAATTCTCCAACAGATACGACTGCGTGATCCACTTCTTCCTGGAGCCAGGTTTCTTGCTACAATTTGGTCGTATTTGTTCTAAAATCTCCTGTGCGTACAAGCTACTGGTGCGAACGACGCAACAGTCCTAGCCCCATACCGAAATCGCCACTATCGAGCATTCACATAGACTGCATGCTCAACTGCTGGAATTGCGTTTCTTATACTTGTCGAAGCGCTTAGAAGTAACCGTTTGCAGAATACGCATGGGACCAGTATGTCGAAAGCGCTGAAATATCTTTCAGTCAGCATGACTTATCAGAAACAATTGTGTCGAATAACGGATGACAGACTGCATCTTATCAATTTGAAACCAGGAACTAACGGTTTATGACGGGTGAAATGGCAAAGAATTAACCTACCCCGTACTTGAAGGTGTTGCCAAACTGAAGACGACCAAATGGACTAACTGAAATATACGTTGACGAATCGATCGAGAGACGGCATAGCATTAATAGATTGTGGGTGAGAGGATACTATAAAAGCCGAGTAATAAATTATTACTGTTAATGAAAATACGAGCTAA